CCTCGGTGTTGCTCCCGCGCCTCGCTCAGCCAGTGAGCGGGAACCGGTCTGTATGTGGGATCTGAACCCTCGGCGGGAGCGCCGCCGTGCTTCCCAAGCGGCGCACTGTAGCAGTGCGCCACCGGGCCGGCCCAAATTTGTATTTTTTTTTGAATCACTGCAGTACATGTACATAAAAATGAAGTCAAATAGTGTTCCAGTCCTGTTCGTGAAAAGCAGCCCCTGTCTCACCCGAGGTGGCTCCTTTTCAACTCTGAGCTGCATGTGATTGTTTATACTGCAGATGTCTCAGTCCTAGGTCCACTCTGCTCTGGTTCTTCAGGTATGACATCCCCATCGACTTCCCACCATGGAGATGGGGGTCTCTGCACCTGCAGATCAGCAGCACATCCCCTCTTTTCCTCCCCCGTGACCCCAGTGTTGTGTAACTACTCTTGGGCTACATCAGCATTTGTATTACACAGCGATTGTGTATGAAGTCCACAGCTGAGTCGTGCAGTTCCTGTCTCGTTCATTGACTCAAGCTGCGTTTAGGAGCTGGGGAAACAGCAGGGAGCAGGAGCAATGTCCTGGCTCTTGGGGAGTGTGCTTGATCATGGAGGAGACAGACAACAGACACGCGGACATACGAGGTGACAGCGAGTGGTAAGGACGATGAAGAAAGTGGGGCATGGGGGAGAGAAGATGACAAAGGACGTGTTTTAGGGAGGTGTAGGAGTACTCCCATGAGGATGATCGAGCTATGCAGAAGTCTGGGGGAAGAACGTTCTGGGTGGGGGGAGGCAAGTGCAAAGGTCCTGAGGCACCGAAGCCAGGGCAGAGCAAGGAGAGGTGGGAACAGGGAGGTACTGGGCAGCTATCTAAGGGGTCAGATGGTAAATACTTTTGGCTTTGTGGCCAACAGCCACACTTCTGTCTGTAGCTACCCTGCTGCTGATCTGTGAATGAGTGGGTGTGGCTGACATTCCAATAAAACTTTATTTGCACAATGAGGTGGACAGCAATTTGGATCATACAGGATCACAGAAAAACTTGTTTTCCTAGGGGTAGTAGCTACCTCTTTTTTAAAAAAATGCACACTTTGCTGTGTATTTATCACCGAGTGAGATGAAAACCCTCCCATGGAACTGCAGGAGTCATTCAGTATCACAGTCCCTGTTCTGGGTAATATCCCCCCAAAGCCTTTTTTCTCTTGCTCTGTTCTGCACAGATCGGGGCTGTAGCTTGGAAATCATTTCCCCTTACAGTTCTGAAGACCTTGCTTTTACTGCCTTCCAGTTTCTGCACTGTTACGCAGAAGTCTCATGCTGTTCTGAGTCCTAGCCTGTTGTCTTCTTTCTGGAAGTTTTTACAGTTGTCTCTCAACCTTGGTGTTCTGAACTTCCACAATGAGGTTCCGTGGTGGAGGGGGCAGGTGTCTTCTTCATTGTGCTGGGAACTTGGCAGATTTTTCAATCTGGAGACTTGTGCCTGTCAGTGCTGTATTAGTCCGTTTCTGTTGCTTATAACAAAATACCTGGCACTGGGCAATTTACAAGAAAATGAAAAATTTACTGCTTACAATTTCAGAGGCTGAGAAATCCAAAGTCCAGGGAACACATCTGGTGAAAGCTTTCTTTGATGGTGATGTCAGTGATGCAGGGTATCACAGTATGAAATGGTGGAGCAGAGAGAGAGTAAACTCCTCAGTCACTCTCCTCCTAATGCCACCAGAACCACTCCCATTATTCCAAGAATGGACCAATCCACTCACGAGGGTTCAGTCCTCATGATCCAATCACCTCTTCAAGGCCCCACCTTTCAAATACCACAATAGAATTTCCTATCCTCTTAACACTGTCACAGTGAGGACCAAGCCTCAATGAGTTTGGGGGGGGGACATCCAATCCACTGCATTCCACCCCTGCCCCCCAAACTCATGTCCTTTTCACATGCAAACACATTGATTTCATCTCCAAAGTCTTAACTTGTTTCAACTCAAAAGTGCAAAGTCCAAAGTCCCATCTGTGAAATCAATATGTTATCTACTTCCAAGACACAATGGTGGGACAAGCACTGGGTACACATTTCCATTCAAAAAGGGAGAAACAGGCCAAAAGGAAAGGGTAACAGGTCCTAAACAAGTCCGAAACCCAGCAGGGCAAGAATCAAATCTTACAGCTGAGGAATCATATACACTGACTCTATGTTCGACATCCTCTGCACACTTTCATGGGGGTTGGGTCTCCAAGTCCTTGGGCACTTCTGCTTCTACGGCTTTCCTGGTCTGAGGCCATGCTTCAGCTCTCACAGGCTGGCACTGCATGCTGGTAGCTCCACAATTCTCGGATCTCCATGGCAGTCCTGCTCTCATGGCTCCACTAGACATGGACTGATGGGGTTTCTCTGTGGCAACTCCGATTCCACGTTTCTGATAGGCATTGCCCTAGCGAAGGCTGCAGTGATTCCACTCCTGCAACAGAGCTCTTCCTGGGTCCCTGAGGCTATTCCATACATCCATTGCAATTGGGGTGGAGGCTCCCAAGCCTTCTGTGAGCCTGTAGACCTAACATCACATGGATGCCACCAAGGCTTCGAACTTGTATTTTCCAAAGCTATGGGTCCAGCCACACCTGGGGTCAAGTTAGCCACGGAGCAGCCAAAGCAGCTGGGGTGCTGGTGTGGGGAGCAGCATCCCGAGGTGTCCCTGGGCAACGAGCCTGTGGAGGGCACCTCAGGCCTGTTCCTCACAAGCATTCTGTCTCCCTAGCCCTCTGGGCCTGTAATGAAAGATGCAGCCTTTGAAATGTATTCAAGATCTTTTCTCCCTCTCTTAATAATCCCTTTCTTCTGTACTAATCTCCTTAGCAAAGGGTCGTTGGGCTGTGCCATTGCATTTTTCTCCTGAAAATGCTCTCTCCTTCTCTACCACATGGCCAGGCTGCAAATTTTCTAAATTTTTACTCTCTGCTTCCCTTTTAAATTCTAGCTTTATGTCATGCCTTTGCTGCCATAACTCAGTGTAGGCTGTTACAAGTAGCCATACAGACTCCTTAGTGCTTTGCTGCTTAGATATTTCCTCCATCAAATACCTTGGATCAGCCCTTGAAGTTCAACATTCCATAAAACCTTGGGGCCTGAATAGAATGCAGCCAGGTTCCTTGCCAGTTTGTGGCAAGGGTGATCTTTGCCCCATTTTCCAATAAACTCCTTCTCATTTACATCTGAGAACTCCTTAGAATGGTCCATGTAGTCCATATTTCTATCAACATTCTGCTCACAACCATGTAACCAGTCTCTAAAACATTCCAAACTTTCCCTGGTTTTCTTGTCTTCTAAACTTTCACTAGCAGCTAGGCTTTTTCTAGCCTGCTCCTTCAAATTCTTCCAGCCTCTCCTCAGCACCCAGTTTCAAAGCCACTCCCACATTTTCAAGTATTTGTTATAAGTAACACCCCACTCTTGGTACCAATTTTCTATCCATTTCTGTTGCTTATGACAAAATACCCAGAACTGGGTAATTTATAAGGAAATAATATTTATTGCTTACAGTTTTGGAGACTGGGAAGTCCAAAGTCCAAGGAACACATCTGGTGAGGGTCTTCTTTGGTGGTGGCTTTATGGCAATGTTGGGGTCTCACATGGCAGAAAATGTTGGAGCAGAGAGAGAGAGCTCCTCATGCACTCTCCTTTTAAAGCCCTCAGAACCATTCCCAAGGCCACCATTAAGCCATCAACTTAATCACCTCTTCAAGGCCCCACCTTTCAATTACCATAATAGGATTCCCCACCCTCAACAGTTACAGTGGGAATTAAGCTTCTAATACATGAACTTTGGGGGCCAGGGGTGGAATGCTATGGATTGATTGAATTGTCTCCTACCACAAAAGAAGATGCTTACCAGATGTGTTCCCTGGACTTTGGACTACCCAGCCTCCAAAACTGTAAGCAATAAATACTGTTTCCTTATAAATTACCCAGTTCCAGGTATTTTGTTATAAGCAACAGAAGTGGACTAATACAAGTGTTGAAATATTTTCTTGCATTATGTTTTAATTATTTTATTTCCCTCCATTTTCTCTCTTTAAAAAAATTTCCTGTTAGCTGGATGTTAAACCTCCTGGAGGAGCCTTTAATTTCTTTCATGTTTTCCTGTCATGATTTTTCTTACTCCTTATTTTCTCTCTCATATTTACTTTCTGGGTTAGTTTTACATGCTAACTTGGTCAGGCTATAGTACCCAGTTATTCAATCTAGTACTAATCCTGGTGTTGCTGCAAAGGTATAATGCAGATGTGGTTAACATCAGTTGGCTTTCAGTAAAGGAGATTATTACCTTTCATAATGCAGGTGGGCTCATCCAACCAGTTGAAGGGCCTTAAGAGAAAAACTGAGGTTTCCCTGAGTAAGAGGAACTTCCACATGCACCTGAGAATGTCCAACCCTCCAGCCTGCCCCCAGACTTCAGACTGGCCAGCCCCCAGTCACGCGAGCCCATTCCTTGAGATAAATCTCTCTTATATATGTAATATATCTATATATATTACACCTGACCTATATATACGGACACCTGACCCACTGACCCTCGCTGGGTGCCATTCCATGGGGACAACGTAACCCCAGGCTGCTGGTGCCTGTCCCCGCCTCTTGCCTGCACTATCACAGTGAGTGACAGGGCTCAATAGTACTTCCCATGTGGCTTGTTGTACTAATTGACACCTTGACACCTTTTTCAAACTCTTATCCCGTCTCATCTGCCCCCTGTCCTCCCATCCTCTTTCATGCACTTTGTGCATTTATGCCTTTTACAGACTTTCTTTACTGTCACTTTAGTGGGGTTTGCTAGTGGGCAGAAATAAGTGCATGTGCTGGAGCTGCTGCCTATCTCCAGAAGTCCTGATGTCGATTTCTGTCTGAGGATGCTCGCAGTCTACTTTTAGGTCTTCTGGACCTGCCCGTGGAGTGAGGCCCACAGGTCAGGCACTCATTTTTGGGGGTTCAGCCCCTGCCTCAGAGCTGCTGAGTTTCATTTTCCTCCAAGCTCAGCAGGTGGATGACCTCTGGAACCCCCTCCCCTTGAAGTTTTTGCAGGAGATCAGGGGGTGCTTACCTGTAGAAGGACCACTTCAGTAGGAACTGCCGGGCGGCCTTGGGGAAGCTGGGGCTGCCTGCATGCTGCTTCAGGACCTGGGTGACCACATTGTTCAGCCAGCTGGCCCACTGGTCCAGGGAGCTCTGCTGCTGCAGGGTCAGCTTGAAATCCTGCTCCAGCCGCTGTACCACGCTCTCCTCGCACTGGCACACCCATGAGGCCTGCTCCTGGGGTGAGCATGGAGGGTCTGTGTTGGCCCCATGGTGCCAGTGCTGCAAATGGGGAGCCCAGGGACCTCCAGGTCCAGCTGTGGCTCTGGGTAAGATGTTGTGCAGTGCTAGAGCCTTTTTGCCCTTGACCTTTCTTTACCCAACTCACAGGACAGGGTGAAGAGCCAGAGAAGGAACCTGCTCTGGCTTCTAGGGCCTTAACACCAGGTTTTTCTGGATCAAAGCTTGTATTATACCATGACTTTGTCTTGTTTTGTTTTGACGTGGTCACTCTTCTAAGTGCATGTGTGCGAGTTTACTCATTTAATAGATAAACAGTGCCTGAAATGATCCATCTGCCTGCTGCCTGCTATGAGCTGGAACCTTCTAAGCCCAGTCGACAGAGCCACGATACGACACCAGGGAGACAAATGTGGTGCTAGAATCGCAGAAGCTGGGAGCATTTGCAAGGAAAAAGAACAGAGGTATTGGTCACAGCACCTGGATGCCAGAGGGACCTGAGAGATGGTGGAGTGGAGGGTCTTGAGGCTGAGAGTGGGCTTCAGGGGGCTTTGACCTGGGACATGTTTCATGCCATAGAAACGTGGGCCAGGCACAGGCTAGGTGCTGGGTTTTGCTGTGGGCTCAATTTTGTGTTTGCTGGTTTTTCTAGAGGGTGGAAAGCCTAGGCCAGCGGGGTAGGGGAGGACCCAGATCTGGGGCACAGGCTGGAGTCACACAGATGTCCTCTCTACTCTGTAGCTTGAGGCCCCATGCCCCATCCCAGGCCACAGGTAACTGTGTTGTAGAAAGTCACCTGCACGTTAGCAAAGTCCACGCGGTTGAGGTCGCTGAGCATCTGGTTGATCTGGGACGTGTTCTGAAGCACCGCCCGGGCCGCCTGAGCGAGGTGATTGAGGGACGTGTATCTCCGCAGAGTCTGGGCGAAGGCACTGACGACGCCGACCTGTAACCGAGGACGGCATGTGCGGATCAGCTGGGGGCGGCCAGGCCTCGCGGTGAGCAGGCGGCGCGTGGGGAGAGCCTGTTCTACTCTGCTCCTTGCGGGGTGCCCTGTGTGGATTCAGGACATTGCAGGAGGAAGCAGCAGGAAAGAGCAACTCCAGCAGGGAGAAGGGGCCCATGGTCTGCCATCCTTAAGGACCCAAAGATTGAGAATAAGTGAAGGATACAGACCTCGCCAATGTGTCATGCTGCACCTCTACCAGATGCCCACGCACTGGCGAGTTAGAATTCACGACGGTGTGGATATGCCCCCACGCCTAGAATCCCTATGGCTCTCTGGAATAGCTGCGGAAAATATAGATTCCTGGGCACTACTGGATCAGACTTTGGGGGGGGGTGTCTGGCTTGGGAACCTGCACTTTGTAACAACTACCTAGGTGATTTTTACACTGGAAAATATAGATTCCTGGGCACTACTGGATCAGACTTTGGGGGGGGGGGTGTCTGGCTTGGGAACCTGCACTTTGTAACAACTACCTAGGTGATTTTTACACACATTGAGGTTTGAGAATCACTGACTAAACAGGTCAATTCCAAATCGCAAGCGGGTCGACCAGATGCTCTGAGGGTGGCCCTCATCTCTGTAAGAAATGCTTGTGAGAAGGATGGGTGAGCACTCTCTTTCCACATGGAAGCCAAATTGTTACACTTCAAATTCTGACTTGTGGCCAAGACTGCAGTAATAAGGGCAACAGTAAGGAGATTAAGTCCCCTCTGATGAGCACAGAAACACTCAAGTGTGTTCTGCACTGGCCCAGCAGATGACACTTGCTGCCACTCCCCTCCCTGCCAGCACCTATTCTACACCATCCACATCCTCGGCGCTTCCTGAAAGGACCAATAGCCCTCATGGCGCAGAGAGGAAGTTGCTCTCTCTGGGGCACAGTGTCCTCACATTCCTCTGGAGCAGGGGGAGAGGAGCCCCTCCTCTCATCCACCCCAGGCTCCCTCCCTGCACAGCACAGCAGGGCCCGGGGGGGCCCCCAGGGTCCCGACCCCAGGGTTACCTTGGTCTGGATGGCCTGTGGTGGGAAGTCACTCATGGCATTGGTCAGCCAGCCTTCCAAGCTCTTGGCAAAGTTACGGATCGCCTGGGTCAGGGTACCTGGGAGTACAAGCCATGATACTGACTGTGGGGAAGGCAGTGTCTTGCCCTCAACATCAGCATTCATGGTTAGAGATGATGCCAGTCTGGTGGAGACGACCACCCACGAAGAGCAGGCAACACGGAGGGAAAGAGAATGACTGAGCAGGTACCAGGGCAGCCCAGAGCTCAGGGCACTGGATGAAGGATGTGCCGAGGAAGAATCAGGGATGGCTAATGCCATTTATTACTACCCACTGTCTGTGATGGTGGGTCTCACCCAGGGGATGCTACCCCACCCCAGGGACACTGGGGCGTGCTCTGGGACATTTGTGGTTATCATGACTGGGAAGAGGAACTCCTGGCATGGAGTGGGTGGAGACCAGGGATGCTACTCAGCATCCTGTAGTGCCCAGGACGGCCCCACCCCAGAGAATGATCTGGCTAAATGCTCACAGTGCCTGGGGGATAAACCCCAAAACACACACACATACAAGCATGTAAATATATACCAACTCCCAGACTGATTTAGAGCAAGGAAATTGTTTTGTTTTGTTTTTCTTTTGCACCTGGCCGGTAGGGGGATCCAAACCCTTGACCTTGGTGTTATAAGGCTGTGCTCTAAACAACTGAGCTAACCAGCCAGCCCCAAGTTGATTTTGAGATGGCTTATAATAAGATGCAAATAGAGAGGCTGGCCGGTTATCTCCATGGTTAGAGCATGGTGCTCCTAACACCAAGGTCCAGGGTTCGATCCCTGTACTGGCCAGCCACCAAAAAAACAAAAGCAAACAACAAGACGTAAAAAACCCAGGAAAAAAAATATGAAAGGAAATTCACCCAAACTCCAGCCATAATCTAGTGTCTCTACCGAGCAGGGCCCTGAACAGTTTTCGGGCAGACAAGGCCAAACAAAAAATGCAATCGTTCTGCTGTTTCCCGTTTTCTGGCAAAATACAGCATAGCAGTTCCAGAAAGACCGAGATTTGCCAAATACTACTAGCCCCACGTATTTACAGCTCGCCTGCTGGGCACAGCCCACAGTGCCCGATGTGATTTACTAACATGGAGGCCTCTGTGCCCAGCGGCTGTGTCTACCCTCAGGATTACAGGAGGTGGCGCAGGCCTGGCGTGAGGCCCTTCGGTGGTGGGTACTGTCATTGTGGCTGGAGGGCGGAAGCCCTTGGGAGTCTCCACAGGCACATCAGCCCCGCCACGGGTCTAGCTGCCAAGGCACATATTTTCGGTTTTTCCTTTCCTACTGTGCCCTGTCACTCTAACATCACCCCTGCCCCCATGTTGTGTGGGGACATCACAGGGCACAGAGGCAGTGAGACATACATGTCACCTGGAATCCCACAGCACTGGGCAGCAGCGGGTCTCAGTGCTCACAAGGGAATGCTTGGGATTTGGCTGGGGAAGGGCTGGGCAGCAGGGTCTGGTGGAGGCATTAAAGGTTGGCCCCCATCCCTAACAGACTGCCGGAGCTGAGGGCTACAATCCTGGCTCTTCCTCGTTATGTCCCTTCCCCTTCCACAGTGCGTGGCTCTCAGGAAAAGTCATTCTAGTGCCTATGGGGAACTGGGGGAGGGCAGCTACTGGGTGGGCAGCAACCCCCTCAGTCCTGAGCAATGGCCTCCCCCATGGTGAGGGCCCCTGGGCATAACCAGGCTACATCCTCCAGCCAGCCTTCCAGAAAGCACCGTGCCTGGTCCCGGCCCACTCTTGGCAGCGACCTGACAGCAAGCAGAGCTTGGAAGAGCCACTAACTGTGACCTTCCCCTCGGTATAGAAACAAGGAAAAATGCATAGGAAGAGAAAACACATTCCAGGGACCATCGAGCGGCTGTTCTGAGGGTACGAATCCAGAATGTGTATGAGATGGCTGCAGACATACAGGTGAAGAAAGGAGAGGAAAGAAGAGGAAAGGAGAGAGAAGGGCCAGAGAGGCAGGCTGGACGGAGGGGCCGCACGGGGCCTGCTTACTGGGGACCGGCCGCAGCACGTCGGGGATGAGGATCTCCACCAGCGCCTGGTAGAGGATGTGGTCGCAGTTCCTCATCCACTTGAGGATGGGGTCAGATTTACACAGAGAGATGAGCTTGTCCTTGGGGAGGGTGGCACCTTCGGGCTCTTCATCACTGTGGGGGAACAGGGAACAGGTGAGCTGGGGCCTGGCTCGGGTGGGCCCTGAGCTACCTACCCCCACCCCCCTGTCCACGCTGCTCAGAGGCTGTTGTTTCAGTGTCTCTGATGCGTCTCCCTGCAGCTATGAGCTGAGGTCATTTCTATTTGAAATGACATCACGGTCACCTCTAAAACCCTCCATGTTAAAAGTCTGATTTGAAAAAGGCGAATGGCAACATGGATTACAAGTCAACTCTGTGAGGTCTAAAGACTACAAGACATAGAAGGAGGGGTCCGAGCCCTGATTCTTGCAGTGACGCATTCATTTGTGGGTCACATGAGGGTGTCTGCGGGTTAAATCTGGGGGCAGGGGGCTGCTGTGGCCTGTGTGGGAGGACAATGGGTGGTCACCTGGTAGGTAGAGAGGTGGGGCCATCACTGGAGGAGGCTTTAGAGTTCCAGAAGGAGAGCCACAGCTTTTCGATGTAGTGAAACTGGAGGTTCATTACAACGTCTAAAGTGGCCTAGGTAAAAATGATCAGTTAGATGGATGAACATGTGAATTTATCACATGTCCTGCGAACATGCCTAGCAAGCAGCAGTGATACAGGTTGCAGTGAGGTCTTTTGAGATCCCAAGAGAAACCCCCAGAGAGGAGCGACCTGGAGGGAGGGGCTGCCGCTTGCAGAGAGGAAGTGTGGGGACATGTGAAAGCCGCCTGCCTAGGCTGGGGACAGCCCGAGCCACCCATCCAGGCCTGGGGCTCCTGGCAGGGCGTCACCTCGCAGTGCCGCCTGTACACCAGCTGCAGGGCTTTGACGTCGTGCAGAGTGACACTGTCCTGCAGCAGGACGCTGCCCAGGTCAGGCGCCGGGAACTCCGGGAAGACATGGGAGACGTCTGGGGGAGGAAGACGGACATGTCAGAAATGGGGCTCTTAGGGCAACGGGGACAATTACCAGTCGCGGAAGCCCAAGTACTGAGGGGTGCTCTGGAAACAGACAGCTCTGGGCTGGCATCCTGACTCCCCCTCAGGTACAAAATAGGGATATTCAATATTGTCACCTCCCAGGGATGTTAAAGATGCCAACATAGAGGCAGCCCAAGCCCAAACCCCGGCAACAGCGTCTGCATCTCTCCAGACTACCCAACCCAGGAGGGCTTGTCCAGGCTCAAAAAATACAGTAGAACAACATGGCAGCTGCTGAGTGTCTTCAGAGTCCACCTGAATAATGACACTGAAAGCAGCGAGGCCTCCACAAGTGAAGACTGTCCCCTGAGTAGCCCCTAAGTTCTCTAGGTAGACAACGAGGAGAAGCCGGGATGGTGGCCACATCCTGCTGCGCCCGGAGCCGATGGGCTGTAAAAGACAGGATCTAGCATTCTTTCTGATGGTCATTCCATTTTATTTACTCATTTTCCTGGTGGTCATGTTCTACATTAAGTTTTTTGGTGTATGCTAATTATTCCAAAATCTCAGGGATGCCAGAAAGGTTTATCTAAAACTTTCTATTTAACTGAAAACATGTCACACAAGAAAACTGTTTGAAGCATCCATTTAAATGCTGCTGTTGCTGAATCCCCTGAGCATCCAGAAGCCGACAGGATCCCAGTGGGGCCCTGCACCCGGGGCCAGGTGACACTGTGCCCTGCACGCCTCACCTATGTACTGCTGGTGGTGCTGGCTCTGCGCAACCATGGCCTGCTCGGGCGTGCTGTGCAGGCTGCTGTGGGAGCTGCTGTCCCCAAGGCTGTCTGTCTTCTGGGCTGGCCGGTACCTGGGCAGGGGACACATGTGCCACCATGAGGTCCCAGTAGCATTGCCTGGGATGTGCTCAGGGAGCAGGAGGCAGAGCAGGATTCAGTTTGGGGGTGTGTGTGTGTGTAATTTTTAAAAATTGTGGTCAAATACACAAATCACAAAATTTACCATTGTAACCATGTTTAAGTGCACAGCTCACCAGCATGAAGCACATTCACACTATTGTATAACCATCACCACCATCATCTCCAGAACTTTCTCATCTTCCCAAACTTACACTCTGTCCCCATTAAACACTCACTCCCCATCCCCCTCCCCAGCCCCTGGCACCCCCATTCAACTTTCTGTCTCTGTGGATCCGATGACTCTAGGGACCTCCTATGAGTGGAATCATGTATTATTTGTCCTTGTGTGACTGGCTTATGTCACTGAGCACAATGTCCTCAAGGTTCATCCATGCTGTAGCGTGTGTCAGAATTCCCTTCCTTTTTATGGCTGAATCATACTGCATTGTGTGGATGGACCATGTTTATCCATTCATCCACTGATGGGTGTACACACATACATACATTCTTTTTTCCCCCTAATATTTCTTTCTCAGAAGATAAGTGAAAATCTTCATGGGGAATCCCAAACATTTTACTTCTGCGAGGTCTCAGAGTAGACTCTGAGACTTTTGTTTTACCCTGAGCCAGAAAGCAGCGGGCAGCCTGTCCAGGCAGCAAGCTGAGAAACATTCAGTGAAGGAAGCTTTCCTAGACAGTCTGTTCCCCTGAGCCCAGACAGTGTGCCAGGCGCAGGGCAGGGTCAGGAGCTTGCCCGAGCTTGGAGCTCCTTTCCTCATGTGGAAAGTGGGGCCAGGCTACTTGGGGGGAAGGGGAGAACATGCTGATCAGGGTCAGATGCATGTTGACCACCTGGCTCAGGGTGGGCTGTGAGCATTACACAGAGACAGGGTGAGGCTGTTGCTTTCTAAATACAAATGGCGGAAGCCTGTCCCCAGGAGACAGGTGGGTGGCTGCTCCTAAATAACAGACTGCCTGAATTATAGGTTCGCAGGTGTTTGTCAAAACTGAGCACCACCAATAAGCTATGGTGTCCACTTCTGCAGACAGCAAGGTACAGGATGGACTACTGGTTCCTAGAGAAAATTCTAGAGACTCTCTTCTGTGACCTTCAACTCCCATGACCGGCTGTATGGGCAGGAGTCACTGGGACACCTCAGAGCAGCTAGAATGGGTTTTTGAGCCACACAGATTTGTGAGTGCTCACTCTGTGCAGTGGGTGGGTACCAGGCATGAAGGTGCTGCACAGAGGTCTCTGCCTACAGACAGACAGCTGGAGCCATCAAGACTCCAGAGAGGGAGCCAGGGAGACAGAGGTGCTCTTTGGCTCGTGGGGGCAGGAGGAAAGGGGGTGCAGTGGAAGGCTGCCATGGAGGTGACATTTGAGTGGGGCCCTAAACCAGGGGTTGGCAAACTGTGGCCCGCAGGCCAATACTGCCACCTGTCTTTGTAAGTAAACTTTTATTGGCACACAGCCACACCCATTGGGTTATGTGCTGCCTGTGGCTGCTTTTATGCTACAACAGAAGCGTTGAACAGTCGTGACAGAGATCATCTAACCAGCAAAGACTAAGATATTTGCCTTCTGGCTCTTTATAGAAAAAGTTTGGTCGGCCCGGTGGCGCACTGCTATAGTACGCCGCTTGGGAAGTGCGGCAGCGCTCCCGCCGAGGGTTCGGATCCCACATACAGACCGGTTCCCGCTCACTGGCTGAGCGAGGCGCGGGAGCAGCGCCGAGGGTTGCGATCCCGTTGCCGGTCCCGGTCCGGTACGGGGGCGACACTGAGGGTTGCGATCCGTTGCCGGACACGGAAAAAGACAAAAAAAAAAAAAGAAAAAGAAAAAGTTGGCTGACCCCTGCCTTTAAAGACATGAGGAAGTTTGTGACAGACAAAGAGTACATTCCAGGAAACACTAAGTCTTTCCAGCCATCAGATCAAAACGTTAGGAGGAAGCGGTGATTTAAGTATACAAGCTTCTTTCTGCTGGCATCTTGGGTTATTTTTCAGTGTTCTCTCTCTCTTTTCTCCCTATAGTTTAAAAACTAAAGATCTGTGATTCCAACTAGATGGCATTCTAGAAAATATGGAGACAGCAAAAGGTCCAGCGCTTGATGGAGGAAGAATGAGTAGTTGGAGCGCAGAGAACTTTTAGGGCAGTGTGATCTTATAGATCTGTATGATCCTATAATGCTGGGTACATGTCATCACACATTGGTCCAAATTCACAGAATGTCTAACACCAGAGCGAACGCAAATGTAGACTATAATCTCTCACGATAATGACTTGTCAGTGTAGGGTCACTGGCTGTCACCAATGCACTGCTCTGGAGGGGGATGTTGATAGTGGGGGAGGCTGTGCCTGTGTGATTTGGGGGGCAAGGGATACATGGGAACTGTCTGTGCCTTGCCCTCAGTTTTGCCGTGAACATAAACTGCTCTAAAAAATAAAGCCTATTTTTTAAAAATTAAAGACCTGCACACTCTGTTGGCAGGATGAGGTTGCACCCAGCCTCCCGTGTCTCTTGTAGCCTTGCTTCACTCTCAGCAGAGGGGACAGTCTTGGCTCTCCTGGGATGCTGGAGACCGGGAGGTTAATAGGAGCTTGTTCTGTGGGCTGGGGAGTCCTCTCACAAGTAGGTAAATCATGTTTGAGAAACGCCTCTCCCCACACTCTCCAAGAGCAACCCAGCTCTGCCCCAGCTCAGGGGCAGTGCTCAGGCCGGCCTCAGGACCCCACGGCCACCCACCTGGGCTTCTGGTGCATGGGCTGCTGCCGCATAGCCATGTACTGCGTGTCCTCCTGCAGCCGGTTCAGGGGGGAGTCTGGCTTCAGCCGGATCCCATAGTAATGGTACTTGGAGTTGCCCCTGGAAACCAAACAGCCCAAGGTCAGCTCTTGGTAGATCCTGAAAAATAGGTTCAGGTTCTCTTTCTCGGCCCTTCATTTTGGCCACTCTGGTCCAGCGTTTCCTGAACTGCGTGAGAAATGTTCCCGGGGAAATTCTGCACACAACACCCCCTTTGTGGAGAGTCCCCTCTCTGAGAAGTCCTGAAAGGCGAAAACCAGGTCAACTTTTTTCAACCCAGCATCACCTACTTATCATTATAATTATCATTATTATTATTAACTTTTCCCCCATCCCTTCAATCATCTAATAACACGTTTTAGAAAACGGCACAGTTTGGGAGCCACTACCTTAGTTGGTTATGGGAGAAATGATGATCAGAGGGCTTTCAACAGTTCAGTTACGAAAATAAGTCAAGGGGTCTCCAGAGGAGAGAAGCATTAACAGGCTGACATGGGCTGTGCGAATACTCTGCTCACGCCATGCCATTTCTCTGGAGCTGGCAACAGGAGGGGCTGCCTGGGGCCTTTCTAGATTAGGCCTGTGCTTAGCCAGGTGCTAGGAGAAAGGAAAACATGGCGACATGAGCCCTAATCCTGAGGTCAGTGCCCCGGACACTCCAAAGGTGAAGGCCCCAGAGGCAGTGGTGGTTGTGTCCCCTAGAGGCCCGGGCTTCCCTGTGTTTTCTCCCCACTTCTTCCCCTGCTCTATCTGTCAACAGAATATTCTCTGTAAAGGATCAAAGAGAAGAAGGGACTCTAGTCCTCGTGGACCCACTGCCACGTCATCATTAGACAGCTAGAATGCCCGCTTCTGAGAATGTGTGGACAAAACCCCGATGCCCATTTCTGTGCGACTTCGCAGGGAGTGAAGCTGAGCCTGGCCTGCCACAGGATCATAGCCACAGCAAGAATCAGCCATGTGGACACTCCAGGCCACCAGCTTTGAGTTAGCGGCATGGCCGTTTTCTCCTGGTAAGAGGAGCATTTGCTTAATTGCCTTTGATGAGTCTGTGGCAAGGGACATTCCGTGGCTGCTGTTGGCCAAGGACAGGCAGTGGTGGATTGTTCCAAGCATAGCAAAAGGTATTAAGAAATGGTAAATCCAGGGCTAGCTGGTTAGCTCAGCTGGTTAGAGTGTGGTGCTGATAACAGCAAGGTCCAGGATTTGATCCCTGTACTGGCCAGCCGCCAAAAAAAGAGAAAGAAATGGTAAATCCAGCTCTACTAATAATCCATAGACTGCTTTTAAAAGTGAGTTATTATGGGAAATGTCAAAAGGAGAGAGAAAATGAAAGTGAGCCCCCATGTCCCATCACCAGCTTCTAAAGGAGGGAACAGGGCCATAATCAATGCCTTAAATCACGGCCCAGCCACAGCCAACGCTGCCACCAACTCAGAGCAACTCCAAGTTCACCCAGAGGCGGTTGTAAGGGACACCTGGGCAGAAAGAGGAGGCCCCACATTTTCCAAAAATCTTGATTCTGGATAAAAGAAGAGGGAAGATGGGTGGGGAAAGGGTCATGAGACCCTCGGCTTCACTGCCTCCCATCTACCCACCTGGTTCCCAGCCTCCGTGTCCTCAGGCCCATAAACACAGACCGGATCAGTTTCCCAAAGGAAGCAGCATTCACGGGGTCGAGCTTGTGTTCCTGGCAGTGCCGCAGGTAATGGTTGTAAAGGGAGCTTCGGGGTAGACTCACGCCTTCAGCGGTTTCGTAATTATCTAACAGCCACTGGAGCTGGATGAAGAAAGACATGTTTGCGTTTGTCAAAATCTTGAAAAACGCTAAAATGCTAATGTGCACTCACTAAGAGAAGTACTTGCTTTTCCTCTGCTAAGAAACATGATGAGGACATCCGTCTTTACTGTGCCTGCTTTGCGTTCTCTAAGCATATTAACAGCTTATTTTCATTCATTTACTTATTCCTTCAATTTTCAGCCTGGTGTGCAGGTTCCTTGACTTATTGTATAAAAATCTGCAAGCGAACGAGACCTATTGGGTTTTGTCTTCATAGTCATTTAAATACCCCCACACCACCACACACTGCTTAAACACCAAATAGCTCCTAAACCTATAGGAATGGAGATAAATTCTGATGCCAAGGAAAACGGGAAGATTAAAGAGAACTTGTTGGAACCCTTTAGCACTGCACTCTGTATTAAACAGTGAAAATGAACAGAGATGTGGAGGAAAATGAAGAACACCTGTTAAAGATGGAGGCACTCTTGCTTTCCAGGATTTAGACTGTCAGCAAAAATGCAAAAAGACTGGGTCAGCAAAAATTTGCAAAGCTTAACCGCAAACCACAGACTTCCTATTGAGTTACCTTGGAGATGGGGAAGTATGGGAGGGGTTTACAGCTGGCTACAACATATGTAAGACATGCCTGTACCCAATAAAGTTGCTTAGTGCGTGCGCTAAGCCCCAGAACTTTATGTCTGGTCTCTGGTTGACAACCTCCCCAAGCGGCAGCCCCTAGCTCAAGGCATGCCTTGAGCAACTCACCTTGCTGCACTCTCTTGGCAGGACTGCATGTGGCCCTGCTCCCCGAGGGACTTCTGGCAGAGGCTACGTGTAGTCCTGCCTCCTGAGACCCCAGGGACCAAGAGAAAGGTGCAGAGATGGACTAATCTGTACTGAAATTCCTGATTGAGAGACGTACAGATGGAAGTTTAATAAAATGCTTAAATGCGAGGTTTTGTGCTCTAAATCAAAAGGCTGGCTAAAAGTCTAAAGCCAAGGTCTGTGCCTTGAGAAGTCAACATCAAGTCAGAAGAGCAAGAACTGTCCACATAACCAGATCAGTCCCCATGCAAGGTATTAACGCAGAGTGGGGCCCACTCACCTGGGGATCCCCCCAGCAAAGTGCTTTAAAGGCTGAGTCTTGATTCTGGCTTACCCCTCTGTTCCCTGATCCAGAGAGTTCTGATATGTGAAGACAAATGGCCTTCACTGATGACCGTTTGTATTTGGAGAAAGGCACAAGCTACATGCACAGAAATAAGGCCTGAGGTCCGAGTCCCGATCCCATGCCAGAAATGTGGAGGGGAAGCTGCATCCCTGTCCCAGTCCACCCTGCATGAGGCTGTCAGGGTGGTCACCCTGGGCTCCTGCACAGCCCCTTGGTCTGAGGAGCCCTTGCCCCCATGCCCTGTGCATCCTGTAAGACCTCTCCCCCAGCACACCCCCTGTGCCCCACACACTACCGTGTGCAACACGTCCATTGTCTGTTTGTCCCCCCAGACTCAGAACTGCAAGCTGGGAAGGAAGTTGGCTTTCATCTCCTTTCTAAAAAATAGTTTTACTATGGGGATGTTCTAATGTGCACAGAGGCTCCAACAATCATCACCACACTGTGTGTCCTCTAAGCCCCACCCACTCACAGCCTGTCCTGAGCTTCCTTCCTCCTCCTCCATCCTTGGGGCTGTCCAGGGAGGCGGACGCAAGAGTGAAGAGCTGCCCTGTGCTCTGGAAAGTTTCAGAGGATCAAAGTGGGAGGACGGCCAAAGACCTAGGTGAAAGGGTGCCTGGGACTGACCGAGGTCCCTTTCACAGAAATACAGACATCCACCCGAGCTGGGGTGATGGGTTCTGTTTCAGAAAGGAGGAGGTTAAGTGTTGGGCTGGAGGTCAGGGTAGAGATACAGACCAGATGTGTTACTTTGGCACCAAAGAGCCAAGGATGGACCTCCAGGGCTATGGGAAAGGATCCCACGTGCAGGGGCTGAGGTGGAAGGTCTGAAATCAAGGTCCAACACTATGTGCTGCCTCTGGGGCAAATCAGGAAGGCTTCAGGGGACCTTACTGCAAGTTCCCTCCCCCCTGCTCCTGCAAATGAAGTTCTGGCCAAATAGCCATTCCTGCTACCCATGAGTGTTGGATTTCAGTTCCTTGCCAGCCAGCAGAATTGTACAAACAAGACAATCACCTCCTCCTGTGGGTACCAGGGCCACCTCCCCCTCTTGTTGCTATAAGCCTGCCTCCCTCAGCCCCTATTGTCCATTGTGCTCCTAACCGTGGCCCTGTGTAGCCCTGGCTGGCGTGCAGTGTCCCCCTCCCCAGGCTGTGAGCATCTGTGAATAACAAACTGCTGTTGATCTCAGGTGTCCAGTGCCAGGTGTGCGGGGAGACAGAAAGACCAAGTGAAGAGGAGTCCTGAAGAGCAAAGGGGACTCTGGCACATGGGGAGCAAGCAGAGAGTGGCTGGGCACAGAAGCCAGAGGAGGCTTTCCCTCTCTGTTACTAAGGGTAGGGGAGCAGAAGGCGCCCCTTCTCAGGCATCCTCCATGGATGGCAGAAGCCAGGACCGGGAGCCCAATGTCCCAAGGGTCCGAGAGCCACACGAGGTGGGTAGGAGCCAAATGATGACATGATTCTCAGGCTGTGAGCATGAGGTCAGATTTGTGGGTGGTGGGCTGGAGGGAGCACTGGACTGGGAGCCCTGAGAGATGGATTCTGAGACCCCAGCCACCAGTCTGAGATGACTGGTTCGTATGTACGAAGAAAGGTTTGGAAAAGATGCTCGCTTCTGCTCATCACTTAAATAACCTGTTATTTAAATTAAAAGTGCAATTCTTTGCTTGTGTAATTATGTTAACATTGACATCAAAAGGAGGCGCAAGTGTCTCCTGTGTTTCTTCCTGCTGAGCAGAAAGTAAGCACACAGACAAGACTGAGTCCATTCCTCCGAAGGAGCAACGGTTACATTTCCTCTTTTGCATCGATGAATTACCCAGAAGGGAAGGATTAGAGCTGCTTATGATGCACTCATGGACTCCATCCAGGGTCTATACCTTCCAGTGGGCCATGAGTGACTCAGGGGCTGGAGCTGCGAGTGGCTCAGTTCTGGGTTCCCACACCCAGTGTTGTGCCTGACGTGGGATAAGCGCCCAACGTTAGTCCAATTAAACTGAGCACGAGGGTCCAGTCTCTCTGGTCACACAGTGCCCACCCCACCTCTGCGAGTTATTTAAGCTCCCTGGGCCTCAGTACCTTCACGTGAGGAAAGGAGAGGGTTTGGCAAGATCGCCTGCCCACTTTGGGGATATTGTGCCGTCAGTCTTTTCTGCTTATCTGTGTTCTATTTCTATGTCAATATCAAACACAAATCAAGAGAACGCTTTCCAAGAAAGCATATGTATTTATCCAGACATCCGTTGTGATCTGTCAGGACTGCACACTGTTGAAATGAATTAAATTCTTCCTTTTAAGGGGAAAAGAACCCCTAAACCCTAAACACCCCCAGTGGCTCTGGGCTCTTTCTGGCACTGACCCTGGGGACAGATGTCCTAACCTACAAATGGGAAAGTGGGGACTTGTGTCTCAAAGTCCAGACTCGTGCCCACCCTGTCTAGCCCCCTTTGTCCCTACGAGTTGGGGTAAATTTGCCTGACATGGGCACCTGATCGGCTAGTGGCAATTTAGATTCTTGCTGTGCCATATATCAGCCGCTTAGGTAGCCCTTCTGAGCTCCAATGTTTGCTTTGTTGATATAATCAAACTTTGAACACCCACCTGTTCATCCATCCATCTATTTACCGAGAGTCGACTTCATGCTAGGGGCTCGGGATGCAGCAGTGAATAAAACAGACAAAACCCCTTGCCTTCCAGATGTGTCCATTCTTATAGGGGAGAGACCCACAATAAATAAGCAAAACAGAATGCGAGATGGTGTTAAGAGCTATGAGAAAAATTAACCCGGGAAAGGGGACCAGGAGCAGCATGGAGAGGCAAGGGGTGGGGGTGGTGTCAGGGAAGGCTCTCTGAGAAAGCTCCGAGTGAGTAAGGACCTGAAGGAAGTGAGGTAGGAGCCATGAGAAGAGAGCTTCAGGCAGCGGGCACAGCCTGTGCAAAGGCCCTGGGGCAGGATGTGCTTGGCATGTTGGAGGAACAGCAGAGGCCCATGTGGCTGGAGCAGAAGGAGGGAGAGAGGGAGGACGGGAGGAAAGGGCGGGGATGGGGCAGGTTGTGCAGGACCTTATGGGCCATTTTGATGACTGGCTTCTACTTGGAGTACACGAGGAGCCCTAGAGGCTTCTGAGCAGAGCATTGCAATGATCTGACTTAGGTTTGAGTGGGATCACTCAGGCGGCTGCCATGAAAAGGGAGGGACTGGAAGCCAAGCAAGGGTGGAAGCAGAGGGCTGGCTGGGAGGTGGCTGTGATAAGCCAGGGGGAGATGGTGCTGGCCAGGGGGGTGGGAGAAGTTGTCTGATTCTGGATTTTTCTTGAAGGTGAGGTTCAAGAGCATCTGGATGTGTGACGCAGGAGGAAGAGTGAGGCCTGAGCACCTGGAAGGCCAGTGGCCAGCATGGCCTTGCCAGAGACGGGCACAGGGCTGGCTGGTGCTGGGGTCAGCGCTTGGCTCTGGATGTGCTGCGTTAAGGTGCTGAGCTGAGCAGACAGGTGGGTTAGCAAGTGAGGAGTCGAGGGGGAGTCCCCGCTGGTGGATGCGTTCAGAAATATACCGGGTAGGGTCAGCCAGGTGGCTGCAAGGGGGCAGAAATGCTGAACTGAAGCAGCTACAGGAGTTCGTCACAATGACTTGGAGCACTGTGTGAAATGACAAGGCTACCATCCCAGGGAGCTGCCAGCTCCGCTGACCCCACCTGCCACCTATGGGCTCCGGTCAGGGTGGCCACTAGCTGAAGGCTAAATGACTTTTGACAATTTGTGTTTCTTGATGTAATGGAGCTGCCAGCTCCGCTGACCCCACCTGCCACCTATGGGCTCTGGTCAGGGTGGCCACTAGCTGAAGGCTAAATGACTTTTGACAATTTGTGTTTCTTGATGTAAAAAACCAAAAGTCTTATAATCCCAATATGATTCATCTAAAAGTCGTTCATTCTCCCAGGGTGTGGAAACAGTAAGTTTATTTTAGTAGATGGCAACTACTGCACCTTGATGTTGACTTGGCGAGGGGTCCCGGAATCAGCTGACAGCAGAGTGGCTGCGTTCCCTGCTCTAGGCTTGGACCTTGACCGAGGTTTTTCCGGGCCTGGCGTGGTGATGGCTGCCCCTGAGCAGATGCGGCAGTTCTGCCTCCGCCTCTTCCCTCTGAAATGGCCATTCCCCACTTTCGCGCTGCCAAATTTTAGAGACAGCTTGAGGCCTGCCTCCTCCTTTGGGAACTCAGTAACCATAAGAATCAGCTCCTCTTTTCAGCCCTCACGGGTGGGCTCCTGTGCACACATAGGTTCAATCTGGATTTGTTTTTCCACACTTTCCACTTTCCGCTCTCAAAGCCTAAGCTCCCTGGAGTGGTTTTCTTCTCCTTTTTCATCCCTGTGTTTGGTACTGGCCCTGCCAGAGCCCTGCACATGGTAGACGGTTGGCTGATGTCACCAACTGGCAGCAGGGAGCAGGCATGGCCCCATTGCTGATGGGACACCCTGCCTGGGGCTTTCTGAGGAGAGAGGTGTGGGAGGTCACCAGGAAAACGGGCTCTGCTGGGCACAGCTGCTGCCCTGCCCCCCAGGCTCATCTGCCGCAGAGTTGGGCTGGCAAAGAAGCTGAGACTGCGGCTATGAATCCCTCCAGACTTCCAGAAAGCTGCTGCCCACTGCTAGAGTGGTCTCAGCCGTAGGAAGCACTGGTGACAACCGTTGTGAGCATGCACAGCTGGGCAGAGGACACGCTGCCCATCCATCAGTAGATCACACTTTCTAACTCCCTGTCCTCTCTGGCTCACCTTTGCCAAGACGATATCCAGGTTTATTTTACTCCAGTGTGTGTGGTTCGCTTTTTAGAATGATCTTATTTCTACTTCCTTTGCTTCTAAGTCACCAACCCCCAAATTCTACTGATCACAGCTCCTGAGGGAAGAAAATGCACATGGGAGATTCTTCCTGCTAGAAGAGCCAACTCCGGAGTGTGAATCTGTAAGCAACCCAAGAAAGCCTGTCTTTCAAATGAAAAGCGTTAGAAAGCCAGAAGCTTCGGCAGCCAGGGACAAGCGGCTCATGCGTCTTCCCATAGACATTTTAACTTTCCCACAGACTGGACCTGCTGCCTGCCTGGGCTCTGTATTCCCGTTCCTGCTTTCCTCCTGACCTAGCACCATGGCCCTGCAGGTGGCACATGTCGGCATCAAGCCGAGACCACCAGATCCTTGTTGAACAGAGACAGAGTCATTCTGCAGGATTTTCCACATGGTGTGCTCTGAGTTTAAGACTCGGGGGTGGAGGGATCCTCTCTCCAAGCACAACCTGAAGCTTTTTCCTTCCTGGATGTGTCCACAGGGAAGACGTCTGTCCTCCAGAAGGTTTCTGGACCTTTCCCTAGGTCTGCTTCTGCCCCCAGAATCACTGTCTGAACGCTGGCCAGCTGGAAGTCTTGAAGGGGTCACAGTTAGGATCAGACTCAACTAAAGGGGTCTTCTTGTTCTTGGATGTTTTACCTCTCAAGAGAATGTGAAATCCCAATTTCAGTGCTAGAAGACATTCTGACTTCCATGGCCTGTCCTTGTTTTAAAATGTCAAACACATTTCCAGTTATGTGCAAAGCCGAATCGAGAGCGTTTGGAGAAGTGAAGTGAACGAGTGTGGGGAGACTGGAGCTTCCTCCTCAGTGTCCCCAGAAATAAAGACCCTGAGCCAGTCACCTCCTCCAGTTGCTGCTGTAAAGCTGCCCCAAGCCAGGACTCTAACAACCTCCTGGCACAGGATCTACGATCTTGGTTTTCTCCCATGAGATGCATGAAGGAGGAAAATCTTATACAGCTAAAATCAGTAGGAATTAGTTGCCTTATACTTTTCTCAAATTACCATTTCTTTCAAAGAGCTGATCCCAGGAAAATTAGCTAAGGGTCTTTATGGCATTCCTGATCCGATGTCATTTTTTTCTTTTTTGTTGTTGTTGCTTATTTTTAGTATTAGTTTTATTTTAAATATGTAACTGTACTGCTTATTACCTGACAGGTATTGTTGGGAGTATTTTACATACATTAAATAATTTAATCCCGGTAGCAACCCTAGGAGGTAGGTGCTATAATTATTTACCTGTTACAAATGAAGAACCTATCTTTACTTCCCCTTCACTGTTTTTGTTTTTTTTGGGGGGTGGGGGGACAGCTGGCCAGTACGAGGATCTGAGGATCTGAACCCTTGATGTCTGTGTTATCAGCACCATGCTCTAACCAAGCCCCTTCACTGTTGAAGGATAGTTTTGCTGAATGTGGGGGGTGGGGGGACAGCTGGCCAGTACGAGGATCTGAGGATCTGAACCCTTGATGTCGGTGTTATCAGCACCATGCTCTAACCAAGCCCCTTCACTGTTGAAGGATAGTTTTGCTGAATGTGGAATTCTAGGTTGGCTTCCCCCCATTTCAGCCCTTTAAAGGCATCATTTCCTTGTCTTCGTTTGTTTTTAAAATGTCTATGAAGGTTAAAAGCAGAGCAGGGCAGAGCGCCACATCAGACACACACTTACATGGCTGTTGAGTAAACCGCTTTTGTGTGATGTGATTCCTTCGCTTTTTTGGAGGTTTTCAATCGCCATTTCAAGCTAAAGAAAATGTGTGCAGAAACAAAACAAAACAAATGGAAAGAAAAAAGAAAAGAAAAAGGAAGTCAGATGGTTAGCATCAGCCACGATTTATTTTTATTAATATCCAATAATGGTTTGAGTTCCTCAAAATAAAAACAAGGCTCAACGCAGGCAGAGGGAGATGAGTTAGGTCAGTGTTAAAGTTGCAGCAGGGAGTGTTACCTTGTCACATGCAGAGGAGCCCGTGAGCCCGCCAAACACAAGCAGCAGAAAGAAGTCATGTTGGATTTTAAAGCAACATATGCACGTGCACATGCGTAACACATTAATGAGTAGTTGCTGCATCAAATCACGTGTCAGCGAAGCCAGCTGAATAATCACCCATTCTTCTTCCCACACCACATCTGTTGCTAGGGAGAATCAGGTGAACGAAGCCAAGGACAGGTGGCGGAATTGACACTGGCCAGCCTGTCCCATTGCAAAGCCCAGAGTCTCCCTGCTGGATGCTTCAAGAAAATACCAATGAGGACAAAGACACAGACCCTGCCATTGGAAGGCGCAGGACCCTGGGCCACTGGACACGGTCACAGAGATCAGCGCCTGGATATTCAGGAAATGTGGGCTGTGCAATGAGGGTCATACGGAAGAGAGGGCAGAGTGCCGACAGAGTTAGGGGAGAAATGGCAGGACTTCCTGGAGGAAAGGGGCTTTGAGTTGGGCACTGAGGACCTGGTGGAGGTGAGGAGGAAAGGTGGAGCAACAGGTCTGTGCAAAGGAAGAAGCACCCAGCCATACGTGGCTGCCCCCACCTTTGCACCTGTCAAATTTGATCGAGACTTGTACATGGAAAACGGACATTTAAAATCTGCTGCAGCCCACCACAACAGGCAGAGAACTGTAATGAAAAGGAAATGGACCTAAAGTATATGCTTTCTTTTCTAAAATACCCAAGGAGGGCAAAAGCTTCAATGATGCTTCTGCAAAAAGCAGGCTGAGTGTGTATTTCAGAGACCAGGTTTCCTGGGGCTGAGTTCAAGAACTAGAGGTTACTACTTCTCCTTTTGCCTCTTTTGACCACTGTAGTTCTGCTTTGTCTCATTAGCTACACCTGCTGAAAGCCAAAGAGGATGTCAGTGTCACCTTTAAGATGTGCAGAAGGTGCCCTGGAGGATCAAGGGAAAGGAGAATGGCGAGACCTTCCCCAGCCGCCGACTCCAGGGAGCAGGTGAGCAAGAAGGCAGTCACTGCCTGTATGATAGACAGAAGAAATACACATACCTCCCCCCAGCCCAGCAGGCATTCTGGTCTACAGCTTGGGCAGTCAGGTGAGTACCAGCAAAGCACATGGCTCCTGCTTCCCCATGCTGAGCTGGGTGGAGCCTGGGCAGTCAACTTATAACTGTGTGTGGCACCTTCCATATGAAGCACTGCCCAACTCATGGGTGCCCTGAGTGCAGAGTTCATGACTCTGGAAGTCCTGGGTGGCCTTTTCCAATGCACGGCAGACTGGGAAGGGGAATAAATACCATCTCTCCAGCATAGTGGGTCTCGACCATTTGGTCTAATGATCTCTTTACACTATTAAACATTTCTGAGGTCTACCTCCCACCAAAAAGAGCTTTTGTATTTAAGAGTTAAATCTGTCAATAGTTCCCATATTAGAAATTAAAATGGAAAAATTGTAAATGTGACCATTTGGTCTAATGATCTCTTTACACTATTAAACATTTCTGAGGTCTACCTCCCACCAAAAAGAGCTTTTGTGTTTAAGAGTTAAATCTGTCAATAGTTCCCATATTAGAAATTAAAATGGAAAAATTGTAAATGTATGCATCAATCCATTAAAAAAATAAACCCATTACAGGTTAACATAAATAACATTTAAAATAAAGAAATGCTATATTTTCCAAATTAAAAAAAAATTAAAAGAGTGGAATTGTTTTACAAATCTCTTTAATGTTCGACTTGTAGGAGACAGTTAGGCCCACACATCTCTTCTACGTTTCTATTATAATATGTTGTTTTAGTTGACATATATAAGAAAACTCTGGCCTCACACAGGTATATAGTTGGAAAAGGAGCAGTGTTTTAATAGCCTTTTCAGATAATTGTGGATATTTTTACTTAATACTAAACCAAAACTTGGCAACTGGTAGTTTCTTAAAAGTTAGCTTTAACATGGAATCTGAAACCATATCAATGAGTTTTTACCTCAGTTACATTAAAAATCCATTAGTCTTGAGATGACATCAATGAAAATGGCAGAGTAGGGAACTCCAAAATTCATCCCTCCAAAAAACAGTGAATAAACAGGCAAACATTGTCAGAATCAACTTTATCTGAACTCTGGAAACTAATAAAAAATTTATAGCACCAGGTAAACCCTTAATCAAGAAAAAAAAAGAAGATAGCCAAAACTTGGCATTTAAGGAGATCTGTCAAATCACTAGCTGACCACTAAGCTAACCAAATAGAGAATTCAGGGGCCACACATGACAACATGACAAAGAATACAGATTTTACAAAATTAGTCCAGAAAGGTCATTAAACAAATAACAACAACTACAAGCAGCAACAACAAACCCTGGGGAGGATGGAAGACTTTGATATGCAGAGTTGCCATAATACTCAAAATATCCAGTCTTCCACAAGAATTATGAGGCATGCAAACAAATAAGAAAGTATGGCCATATGCAGAAAAAGAAAAGAAATAAATAGAACTGTCCCCAAGGAAGCCCAGACATTGGATTTAGGAGACAGTTTAAATCAACTATTAAAACATACTCAAAGACCTAAAGAAAGTCATGTACAAAGAACTACAACAAATCATGAGAATAAAGTCTCACCAACAGAGAATATTGACAAAGAGATAGAAATTATAGAAAAGAATGAGATAGAAATTCTGGAGTTGAAAATACAATAGCCAAAATGAAAAAACCACTAGGGGAGGTTAAACAGCAGATCTGAACATGCAGAAGGCAGAATCTGTGAACTTCAAGATAGGCCAATTGAGATCAGTCACTCTGAGAAACAGAAAAAAAAACAAAAAACAAAGAGAAATTATCTGAGCTTGAGAAACCTGGGGGACACTGCCAAGAATACCAACAGACACATAATGGGAGCACAAGAAAGAGAAGAGAGAGAAAGAGAAAAATGAAAAGCATATTTGAAGAAATAATGGCTATAAACTCCCCAAATTTAATGAAAGACATGAATGTACACATTCAAACATCTCAACGAACCTCAAGTAGTATAAACTGAAAGAAATCCACACCGAGATACATTATAATCAAATGACTAAAAAACAAAGACAAAGAGAGAATCCTGAAGGCAGCAAGAGAGAAGGGATTCATTACAAACGAGGGAGCCTCAATAAGAGTAACAGTCAATTTCTCATCAGAAACCAGGAAGCCAGATGGCAGTGGAATAACATATTCAAAGTGCCAAAAAGTGGAAAAACCAATGTCAACCAACAGATGAATGGATAAATAAAATGTGGACCATCTACAGAATGGAATATTATCTAACCACAAAAAGGAATGGAGTTCTGACACACGCTACCACATGGATGAGCCCTGAAAACATTATACCTGTGAAAGAAGCTAGTCACAAAAGAACACATATTGGATGGTTCCTTTTACATAAAATGTATAGAATAGGCAAATCCATAGATACAGCAGATTAGTGGTTGCTAGGGGCTGGAGGAGGGATAATGGAGAGTGATTGCTAATGGGAACAGGGTTTCTTTAGGAGTGATGAAAATATTCTGGAACTGGATAGTGGTGATGGTTGCACAACATTGTGAATGTGCTAAATGTTACTGAATTGTACATTTAAAAATGATTAAAATCATGAATTTTATATTATATAAATTTTATCTCAAAAATATACATACAACTAGCTTAAAAAATACATTAGTCTCTCTTACATTTTGAATGGATCTTTTACTGATGGGTATGATTTTGTAACATCATGCATTGGTCACTTGGAAAATATAGGTTCACTGAATTTGCAGATCTTCCATGTTGACACATTTCACTAAACAGTATCAAGAAATCACATTTGTTAATATCACTACCAACCTCATCAGAAGAGTCATGAACTATTGGGAAGCTGTCCAGTTTCCAGTGGCAGACACAAATTTTCCAAACTTCTCATTTTTTGTTTGAAAACTTGAATTTTATGATTGGCAACTAAGACATGCCAGTCATTTTCCTTCATGTGTTCATTTCCAAAAAAAAAGTCTGCCAAATACCCAAGTCTGAATAATCATAGTTTGTCATTCTTTCAAGCAAATATGGCAAACCTCTCAATTTAGTATCTTCTGCTTCATGTCATTAAAAAAGAAGCAAAACAGAAAGATTTTATCAAAAACTCACTGTTTGGGGCAATTAACTTTTAAGATTTATAATACTGATAAAATTTTTGCCAGAAATAAATACTCGAGAAAATTTGTCACCAAAGTCTGAAATCACTCATTGAGGCAGTAGGTGGTCATTTGCTTCGGCCTTCATTCTCTACTTTTAGGATTAAGTGGAAGTCCCATGAAACAAAACTGACACGAACAAACTGGCAGATGTCAAATGTCACATCAGGAGCCATATTTCTGTTGCAATCTCTGAGCCATTCCTGTTCTTGGCTCCTGGAAATTCCCTTGGATCTCTGCAGCATCCTCATGAGATGTTTCCATGCCAAAAACAAGCCAATAAACAAAGCAGAGCAAGCAGAAGTCAAGAATTGGATTCCCATCCAAGATGATAACTCTCCAGGAACTTGGCAGGGTGTATGCGTGAGTATGAGTGTGTGTACGTGTATCATATGTCTCAAAACATAGCTCATTCATGGATTTCTAATTAATTTAAAATTTCATTTCTTCCAAAGCAACCCAGACAACAAACCACAGTAACTGGGTGGCCAGGGTCTGAGCAGCACATTTTTTAATGACAAGAGGGACTTGGATCATAGAGAACACCACTGTTTCTCAGGAAATCAGCCCTGGGGTACTTTTGGCATTGAAGGGACTAAGTGGGGCTGGGGTAGAGGCAGGTGTCCTTGGAGAGACAAGCAAGTACTGCCCTATAACATCATACCCTCCAGAAAGCAAGTGACTTCTCTCCAGGAAAGAAGGAGCAGGCACAGGGGCTCCATGCCTATCCTCAGATCAGGGTCCTGTGGGTCACCCTGAACATAGGAAAAGTGAAGACAGCAACATTCAGAGGCTTCTCTGATATCAGGGTGACCCCAAACATACTGGGACCAAAAGAAAGGGACATGGCTAGACCATCACCTTCTATTTCAGGAGATTAGCCCCTCACCCAAATAAGAAGTTATTGTCTAACAGAAAATCAATCAATGTTGTCTGTCATAATAACACCCTAAAGAAGAGAAAACACATGATCATATCAATGAAGAAAAAGCATTTGACAAAATCCATCATCTATATATGATAAAGACTCCTGGAAAACTAGGAAGAGAAGGGAACTTTTTCAAACTAAAAAAAGGGATGTTTATGAAAAGCCTACAGCTAACACCATACTTAGCAGTGAAAGACTGAAGGCTTTTCCCTTGAGAATGGGAACAAGGCAAGGATGTCCATTCTTGCCTTTTCTATTCAGCACTGTACTGGAAGTCCTGGCTAGTGCAAAAAGGCAAGAAAAGAAATAATAGGCTTCTACATTGGAAAGAAAGAAATAAAAGTGTTCATATTTGCAGACAACAAAAACCTCCTAGAACTAAAAAATAAGTTCAGCAACATTGCAGGATACAAAGTCAACAGCCAAAAATCAACCATATTTTCATACCCTATCGATGAACAGTTGGAAACTGAAATTAAAAATCAATACTATTTACAATAGCTCCAAAATCATGAAATACATAGGCACAGATCTAACAAAACATGTACAGGATCTGTATGCTAAAAATTACAAAATGCTGTTGAAAGAAAAAAAGAAGATCTAAACAAATGGAGAAAACATACCATGTTCATGGATTGGAAGACTCAACATAGTAAAGATGTCAATTCTCCCCAATTTGATCTGCAGGCTTAATGCAATTTAATAAAAATACAGTAGGATTTTTTTTTTGGCAGATATAGTTAAACTGACATAAAACTTAAATAGAAAATTTAAATTTATATAAATAGCCAACACAATATTGAAAAAGAATAAAGTAGGAGGAAACACTCTACTTGATTTTAGGACTTATTATAAAGCTAGAATAATTAAGACAGCTATTGGCAAAGGGATAGTCACACAGGTCAATGGAACAGAATAGAACGTTCTGAAATAGACCCACACACATATGGCCAATTAATTTTTTTTTTCCTTTTTGTCTTTTTTCGTGACCGGTAACAGGATCGTAACCCTCGGTGTCACGCCCGTACTGCGACCGGCAACGGGATCGCAACCCTCAGTGTCGCGCCTGCACCGCGCTCAACCAGTGAGCGGACCGGTCTCTATATGGGATCCGAACCCTCGGCGGGAGCGCTGCCACGCTCTCAAGCGCCGCACTCTACCGAGTGCGCCACCGGGCCAGCCCAGGCCAATTAATTTTTGACAAAGGTACAAAAGTAATCCAATGGAGTCTACGCAAAGTCTATGGATAGTCTTTTTAGCAAATCAGGCTAGAACAACTGGTTGTTTCATATGTAAAAAAACAAACCTTGACCTAAATCTTACATCTTATACAAAAGCTATCTCAAAATAAAGCATATCTAAATATAAAATGTAAATGTGCAAAACTTTCGAAAGGAAACAAGAGAAAATCTTCATGACCTGCAGAAAGGCACAGAATTCTTAGACATGATATCAAAAGCATGAACCAAAAAAGAAAAATTCATAAACTGGATTTGATCAAAATTTAAAAAAAAATTTTTTTTTTCTGCAAAGGACACTTGTTAGAGAGTGAAAAGACACACTAAAGACTGGGAGAAAATATTTGCAGATCACATATCTGATGGGGACCTGTATCCAGAATATATAAAGAATTCTCAAAACTCAACAGTAAGAAAACAACCAACCCAGTTAAAAAATAAGCAAATGACTGAACTGATACTTCACCAAAGAGCATCTACAAAAGGCAAATTAAGCACATGAATAGTTGCTTACTATCTTTAGTTATAAAGAAAATGCAAGTTACAACCACAATGAGGTACCATCACACACTATTAGAATGGGCAAAATAAAATACTGACAACACCAAGTGCTGACAATGAAGTGGAGCAACGGGATCTTGTATACATTGCTGGTGGAAGTGCAAAATGGTTCAACCACTTGGGAAAACTGTTTGGTGGCTTCTGATAAAGTTAAACATACACTTACCATATAAACCAGTAACTCCACTCGTAGGTATTTACCCAAAAGAAAGAAAAATGTGCCCATACAAAAATCTGTATGCAAGTACTTAGAGCAGCTTTATTCATAATTGCCCAAAACTGGAAACATCCAAATGGCCTTCAACTAAGGAGTGGATAAATAAACTGCATTGGAATGGAATACTACTCAGTACTGACTCAGTAAAAAAGGACTGACTACTGATTCATGCAACAAACAACTTGACTGAATGTCAATGGCACCATGCTGAGTGAAAGCAGCATCTCAAAAGGTTACATACTGTAAGATTCCATTGATACGACGCACCCCAAAAGATAGAACTACAGTGATGGAGAACAGGTCAAACAGCTCGGCGGTTGCCAGGGGTTGTGGGTTGGGGAGGTTGTAACTATAAAGAAACACCATGAGGGAGTTTTCAGGGTGACACGCTGTTGTGTATCCCAACTGTGGATGATTACATGAATCTACACACACATCAAAACTCACAGGCTGTACAGCAAAAAGTCAATTTGACTCCACGTTAATTTAAAAAATAAAATAAAGGTCAACATGGAAGATTGAGTTTTAAAAGCAGAGACATTTTTAAAGCAGGTAAGTAATTATTTTGCATGGGATTATGGCAGGAAGAATCCAGTAGAGCTCTGGAGGGATATTTCCTCCTGTTTGCTTCAGTCCAGTTTTCAGCTGGATGGACTGACCTAAGCCTCCACAAGGCTGACAATGACAATAATGATTATAATGGTGATATCAATAGGAGCGTCTGCCAGTGGGGAGATGCCACACACATATTCAGTTTCACAGCAGCACATGACCTTACATTCCTCCTCCTCTGTTTACCAGCAGCCAACTGAGCTTCGAAGAGCTCTGCAGACCAGTAGGCTCACGTGGCCCATCTGTGGTGGGCAGGGCTCCAGGCCAGGGCCACCTGGGTGCACACAGGTGACAGCTCCGCAAGGTTGCAGGCTGCCCCTTACTCACTGGCCCCATACAAGTCTTCTTGTACCCTATCCCACTGGCCCCCAAGAGCCTCGTACATACCGTGGCTGGTGAAGAGCGGGACGTGTGGGCCAGGGAGTGCCTCGAGCCATCCATCCCCCCGTGGAGGAGATAGGCTCCCGCGCTGGAGACGATGGGGTTCCCTCCAACATCCATGGCAATGCCCACCATGCTGTGGGAGGGCACCGCTGGTGGGGACGAGGCTGCCACGGTCACCTGGGCACCACCTGGGGACTCGAAGTAGGAAGCTGCGCTGCTGGGGGAGTACATCTGAGGCTCTGGGTTGTAGGCGTAGGCCGTGCGTCTGTCAGAAAGAAAGAGGTCACCCGTCGGACACTGTCTGGTTTAAACGCCTCATCTGAATTCCAAAGGAAGCTAGCAAAACTTCATGTAAACACTGGAGCCCTGTACACTGAGCATATGCGGCAGTTCTGACATGGTATATGAAATTCAAATGCAAGGCGGACTTCACAACCATCTTCTCTGAAGATATTCAGGATCACAGGGTGACAAATGGAAAAGGGATCATTTAAAAATTCTAAGCGGATAAATGGGTTGCATGAGGGAGCTTCTTTGTGGAGATGGAACATACATATCATGGTGGAAGTTACAGAAATCTATACACGGGATAAAACTGCACAGAACTATATACATGCATGCATGCATGAACATGCATCCACACACACAAGCACACATGCACATGTACACACACACAAATGCGTGTAACGACTGGTGAAACTGAGTAAGTCCTGTAGGCTAGTGAGCAGTATTGTCCCAATGTCAATTTCATGGTTTTGATTTTGTCCTACAGTCACACACTATGTCAGCACTGGGGGAGGCTGGGGAAAGGGTGCACGGGACTCTACTAGTTTTGCAACTTCCTGTGAATCTATGATTATTTCAAAACAATAAGTTAAATAAAATGGCATAATAGAAAGAATTTCTAAGCTATACCAAGAATTCATCTAAGATTCCCTTAACATCTGGATTAAAGGATTAACCTTGTATGTCAGGACTGAAATTTTTAAGTTACACTTGACTAATGCCAGACATTGTAAAAGCCGGTTAGTGGTGGTTTCTCCTCATTGGTGAGTAAAGGTTGGTGGCATATCCAAAGGAAAGACCCCTCTGAGAGGCCCCCTCTGACCCCTGGGAGGCATAGATCTTGTACTGTCCCTTCAAGGTGACATCCATAGAATGGCAGTACAATATCAGAACCAGGAGTGACCTTGGTAAAGCCCACAGACCTTGCTCAGATCTCACCGGCTTTATGTATACTCGTTTGTGGCTGTGTATGTTTCGTGACCATCAGTGTCAGGCATTAAAAAGCCACACAACTCCATCAACCACAACTCTGCAGCCACACCCAAACCTCTCGCACAATCCCCACACTTGTGAGGAGAGTCATCAAAACCAAATGGAAACACATGAGCAAGCATCATACAGAGAGTAGAAAACTCTAGAAGTCCTTGAAAAGTGGAGACATCAACATCATAAAAAGCCGCAGTTTAACAAAGGTGAGGGTGAGAAAACACGAGAGAAACGGTTTCTAGATTGTGAAGACTGAATCTTCAGACCTAGAAGTTGGGTTAGTTTTTTGGTTTTGGCGGCTGGCCGGTATGGGCGTCCAAACACTTGAGCTTGGTGTTGTCAGCACCACGTTCTAACTAGCTGAGCTAACTGGCCAGCCCCTTGTTTCGTTTTTTCAAAGACTGCTTCTCTAGCAGTAAAAAATACACAGGTCTGTGGTTTCTGAAATCTCCACAGGGATGTGATATCTTAATACAATTTAAGTAGGACATAGTGAACATATCCCCAAAAGGATAAGGGAGAGAATTTGTTCCAACACATCCCAAGGTGGAAAGAGGCAGGAGAGGTGTGACAGAAGGACTCGGGTATGGAAACTTCTGTGAGAGGAAACATACATACATGGCTCCATTGGTATAGACAGCGTCTCCCCCTTCCACATACTGCACCTGGGCGGGGTACACGTGCTGCACAGGCTGTACCTGAAACAACATTATGTATTTTGTGTTATGGACAGAAGTTTTCTTTTTAATTATTTCCACAGTCAGCACTTCTAGAAACATAGAGAGAGATGGTAATGTAAAGAAGATGTATTCCAAAGGGGCCCAGATGGTTCACAGAATTGCTACTGACTCACAGAGCCTCGCTGGGATTTCTGGGAGCTGTGACTCATTCGGTTGTGCTGCATGGGGGCAGCAGGTCAGTGGTCCCCGATCTGTGTATGTGGGGACAGGACAAAGAGAAGTATACCTTCCAGCCAGTGCAGTGGAAGCCAAAAGTTTGGGCAAAACCCCAACCTTGGAGCTCGGGACTGTCCCTGTCATGGGCAGAGGGGTCAAGCTGATTACACGCTATGTGGCCCCTGATACTCCCTGTGGGTGGCCCTGGGGCCCCCTCTCCAGCAGAGAGGAGGTGAGAGGCTGTGAAGATCTGAGCAGAGTTAGAAGGAGCAACATACCTGGCGGGGGGGGGGGCAATGGGAGGACCCCAGTGCATCCCCACTCGCTTTGTCCCTGCCTCAGCTGAGACATCAGTCCAGCACCTTGGCTGATGGCCCCCGAGGGATTCTGGCCCCCCTGGTGGATGCCCAGTGCTTTGCACGTGGAACTTCAAACTCTCACCATAGAGGGAATCTTAAAGGATGCCGAGGTCAACCTCACTTTGGGGTGGTAAGATCAAGGGCCACAGCAGTGGGCTTGCTTGGGTCTCCTGGTGACCCTACTCTAAGTAGGAGCCCCTGGAAGAAAGAGGTGCATTCTCTGGGATTTCATGGCTCCTTTCAGGCAGGAACCTGATTTAACTTTAATTCATCATTTTATAGAGCATGAGTCAGCAAACTCCAGTCTGAGCACCAAATCTGGCCCACTGCTTGTTTTTGTAAATAAAGTTTTATTGGCACACAGCCATGCCCATTTGTTTACATATCACCTGTGGCTACTCCTGTGCTAAGACAGCAGAGTGGAGTGGCTGTGCCAGAGACCACCCTGCCCACAAGGACAAAAAATGTACTATTTGTCCTTTTCTAGAAAAGTTTGCTGAATGCTCTTGTGAATTGCTGACTCTCCTTGAGCTGATGACCTGTGTACTATTTGGCCTGTCCACCCATGCTTTCAAGCTTTATTCTTAGATAATTAAATTCACAAGAGGCATTTCCTTGGTCATGCTCTGGTCCAAGGGTAGGGTCCCTGCTTGTGGCTGGGTATGCCTCCCCCGGGGGTTCTTTGTTCCTCCAGCCCAGAGCTCCTGGTATCTGCCCACGTCTCTGCCTTACTCTACCTGGCAGGCTCGCTCGCTTACTCACTCCCCAAATGCCTGCTGAATTTTTGAATGAACAAAAGATCACCAGCTTTCCTGGCTTGTTGCAAAACTATCTGCAGTAAAAGAATTTTTTTTTCTTTTAACATAGCTTCTGGAAGAATCTTCCAGGTAAGAAACTGAAGATATTAAACAGAAAGGAACAGCAACAGTAGAAAAAGATGCATCATTCAGAGATTGTTCTGGATTACTAAGCATTGACCACGCCCCCCTGTAGACAGTGCTGTGGTGCTGTCATTACCTGCTGTGGCACCTGCTGAACTCTAGGGAGGGAGATTGGCTGCATCTGAGCTCCTTTGGTAGTGGAGCCCGCTGCCTGGACCAACACCCTCTAAAAGGAGAAGGAGACGAGGAAGGACAGTTAGTGCTTAAAACAAACAAAGACTACAGCTAGAGCTGCAGACACATGCAGAGACGTGCAGGCACACAAACAACCCTGGTATGTACACAAGTGTGCACACACACACTCACTCCATTCACCACACACATGTACAAGCTCATGGGCACATGAGGCACACACACGTGCACACAGGAGCACATGTGCCTCCATCCCTCTCCCTCACCAGCTTTGCCTCTGTGGGGTCTAGTCCACAAGATGATGCTACCTGTCGCTTGTACAGAGGGGATTGCTGCTGAGGAGGGGGACCTTCTGAGCAGCCATTCATACCACCACCCTGGGAGAGTGCTTTACAGCACCCCACGATTTTGCAGTATACACTGGACTTGTCCCCATTTTATACATGAAGGGAAATGAAGGCCAGAGTGGTCTATGGCCTCAGAAAACTAAATTCTAAAACCAAGATTCAAGTTGCATTTGGCTTCCTCACTCTCCGACTCCACTGCTCTCTGGTCTCCTAAGGAGAGTCCTCACAGTGTAGCTTTGCTAGTTTGCTCTGAGAACCGATTGGCCACACAAAGCCATGAAAACGTGAAAGGTCAAAATGAACTCCAGAGTCAAGAGAGGACTAGGAGCATCGTGTTTGTGAATTTAGAGCTGCGGCTGTAGAAGCTGTCAACTGCGATGCTGCAACTTTCCAACATGGACCCCAAATGTCACTGCTCATGCTGATTCTGCAGTGCTCTGCCTTATAAATGCCAGTGAGTGGTGATGACTGAGGATGCACTGTCCTCTAGAATCCACAGATTGTAGCTACAAGATGAAGAAAGCACTAATAAGGCCACCAGCCAGAGGGCATTTGTGTCTCAGCTGAGCTGGGTGCTGTGTGGTTGGAGGGACCCAGCCCTCCCTGAGCTCACCACCGGATATAAAAAGAACATAGATGCTAAAACATCAACCGGATGAACGTATAAACTAAATGCTATATGTTTGTACGATGGAATATTATTTGGCTACATAAAGGAAGGAAATTCTGACAACGTGGATGATCTTTGAACACATCACACTCAGTGCAAGATGCCAGACACAAAAGGCCACACAGTGTATGATTCTGTTTATGTGAAAAGTCCAGAACAGGCCAGTCCACAGACAGAAAGTGGAATTGTGGTTGTCAGGGGATGGGAATGGGGAGTGACTGCTGATGGCGATGGGGCTTCTTTTTGGAGTGATAAGAATTTTCTGGAACTAGATAATGGTGCTGGTCGCACAACTCTGTGAATATACCAAAACCCATTGAATTGTACACTTTAAAATGGCTAATTTTATGTTATGTGAATTTCACCTCAAATAAATAAAAAAAAATATGAAAGTTTCACATTTGTACACTCTAGCGCTGAGCTGTCCAATTTGGTAGCTACTTACTAGCTGTGTAGCTGTGTGGCCATTTCAATATAAACTTAAAGAGATTTTTAAAAACTGTCAAGTTCAGTTCTTCAGGGGCATGGGCCACACTTCAAGTGCTCAGGAGCCCTGGTGCTGGCGGCTCCCATAATAGATAGCACAAGGCGAGAGGTTGGGTGTGAAGAGCACGCCACATGACTGAGCGAGCAGGAATTCCTTCTTCCGGCCAGGAAACAGCCAGGCAAATTTCTGAGAGCTCGCTGTTTGGAGAAGGCAGTGCAACCTGCTGACCAGAGGGCTTGGAGCTGGTGAGCCTCAGAAAGGGGCCACCAAGATAAGCCCTGGGTGGATGTGGAAGTTGTAGTAGTGATACTGGGACCAGTCCTGCTGTGGCTGCTGCAGAGGGAGGCAGAGTCCACCCAGGCCTGGGGGGCACCTGAGAGAGGGGCTTGGCGAGAAGGATCCCAGGCAGCAAAGGGTGGGAGGGCTGACCCCCTTTGGGCAGGTTCAAGTGTGAAGGGAAACAAACCAATTAGGCCACAGCTTGCTGCAGGATGACAGCAACTCATCATGCCCTCTCAGCCCCTCAGATGTCGCTTCCAAGACCCTCCCCACCTGGCTGCCATATTTGCAAGAAATAAAAGCTAAAGATGTCTGACCATACATTCTTTTATTTATTTATTTTTTGGGGGCAGCTGGCTGGTACAGGGATCCGAACCCTTGACCTTGGTGTTAGCAACACTGTGCTCTAACCAACTGAGCTAACCGGCCAGCTCTGACCATACATTCTAAATTGAATAAACCACTTCAATGTCTGCCTTTCTTTTTTGCTGAATTATGGTTTTTTTCGCTTTCATCGTTTCTTTTTGCCATGCTCCTGACTCTGAGATTCGTAAATCGTGGGTGATCACATGGCCACAGTGGACCTCTGCACACTTCAACGAGCCTCCAGTCTGCTTCATGCAATCTATGTCACTCACTTTGCGTTTATGTCTACTTTATGGCTTATTTCAATCCGTGGTAGAAATCCAGAAGCAGAGAGAGCCATAATGTAAAAACTCTCTCTTTGCAAATTTTAAAGAATGTATTAATTCTAATGGTAGATTCCATTTGGAATCAAATCCTAAGAATTCTAACATCTTTTGCCTTATGCACAAAGTCTTTCTGTGCAAAAGGGTCATTTACAAGTACAAGAAGACTTCCATTGAAAGATCAGAAGAGACTAAGTTGGATTCAGGGGAGTGGTTTCTTTTTCAATTTGTATCATTTCCCTGGTGGGACCTTTTTTAACAGTGAAAAAGCCAAGTAATGCGAAGGAAGATGTGCCCATTTCCACAGTGGTGGGCTTGGGGTTGAAAAGTCCATTCTGAAAAACGCAGCCTCCTTTCTCTGCTGATTCATGTCGTTTTCCCCACTGTGGCCGCTCTGGTTTGTTCCAGAGTACCCAAGCAGCATGGTGGGGCCACTGTTACCTGCGGGGAGGCGGGCACAGGCTGGGCTGCCGCCGACGGACGCACGGAAGCTGGTGAATCCGATCCACTCTCGGAATTCTGCATGCTCAGTTCTAAAGAAAGGTCCAGAGACAGTGAATGGGCAGAGGTTGCAAGCGTGAAGGCAACTTAGGACAAGTACAAGGGAGGCAATCAGTAATGACCCACGGTCTTCAAAGCTGAAATGCAGAGACCCTGGCAGTACTGGGCAAGTAAGATGGGGGGCAGTTTGCACAATTCTGCCATAGAATGAGTGGGGGAGGCGGGGAGAGGGGAGAGAGAATGGTTTTCCAGATATAAAATCAAAAAAGCTCTGTGTCACTGAACAATGACAGGAATTCCTCAATGGAAGGCCAGGAACAACGGCTTCTCCTCTTTCCAGGTCTGATCAGGTTGAACTATTTTGAAAGACTCATTCTATTGTCTTATTTATACAGCAAATCAAAAGTTCTTAATGGATGATTGCCATTTGGGGAGTATCTGCTCAATGCCACCGCTGGAGAAACTCTAAGACGGGGCTGGATACTTCACTGTTGTGGAGGGGCTCTTCTGTGCGCTGTGGAATGTTGAGCAGTGTTCCTTGCCTCTATCCATCCATCCCAGGAGCACCCCCTCCTCAAGTTGTGACAACCACAAATGTCTCCAGACATTGCCCAATATCCATTGGGGGGCAAAATTGCTCCCAGTTGAGAACCACTGGCCTAGGGACAAAAAAGTGATCTGCAGAGGGAGCAAAGAAATGGCACACTTTATCCTGGGCTAGAAAAAGTCCTCAGGAATTTTAGCAGTAAGTGAAAATTACCTTCTGTTCATAGAGACCTTTGCCCATAGGAAAGCTCAAAGGTATACTTCTTTGCTGTTAGATGCAAACTTCTTTCAAATGGGTAGTTTAAAAATTCTATACAAAAAGACTCATTTAACATCAGGACAAAGTGGCAGATGAATTCATTCTACAAAATTCTAAAAGTCAAACTCTTCACTTTTAAATAAACAACCAGCTACCTTAAGTATTTGAGAAGCATTTAAATATGCAAACTTAAGGAAGGGGATGACGTGGTAACCAGGCATGCCTATTCCCCACGTCCTGGTCTTAGCTCTGAGCACTTCACGCACGAGGCGTTGGGTCTCTATGGTTCCTCCTGCCGAAATGCTAAAAGTCAAACTCTTCACTTTTAAATAAACAACCAGCTACCTTAAGTATTTGAGAAGCATTTAAATATGCAAACTTAAGGGAGGGGATGACGTGGTAACCAGGCATGCCTATTCCCCACATCCTGGTCTTAGCTCTGAGCACTTCACGCACGAGGCGTTGGGTCTCTATGGTTCCTCCTGCCTCATGGGGTGCGATGAGGACTCAACTGTACACACATCACAGTGCTAATGAAACTCAGAATGCAAGAAACATTTGCTAGAATTTTTATGTTTCTCTACCACCCCAGGAATTCCCACCTCTAAGAATGAGTAAAGAACTGAAAAGAAAAAAAAGCCTTCTTTCTAAAATGTAAAGCAGGGCTGGCCCAGTGGCGCACTCGGTAGAGTGTGGCGGTGCTCCCACCAAGGGTTCGGATCCCATATAGAGACCGGTCCGCTCGCTGGTTGAGTGCAGTGCGGGCGCGACACCAAGGGTTGCGATCCCGTTGCCGGTCGCGGTGCGGACGCGACACCAAGGGTTGCGATCCTGTTACCGGTCATGAAAAAAGACAAAAAGGAAAAAAAAAAAAAAATAAAAAATAAAATAAATAAAGTAAAATGTAAAGCAAAACTGATAACAGATTAAACTAACTTGCCTAAGGAAAGCAGAAAGAGGTGTGTGCTTGTTTGAACCCAAGTGTGCTGGTTTAATTTCATTGCCTGGGACTATCCCCTGACTTCCCTCCTTTCCTCTCCCAAACACCTTTGGTGCCACTGAGAGCCACTGGAGGACCCGCTACCTGCGTCAGTCATTTTTCTGTTCTGTGTGAGTTTGATTCGGTTTTTACCACTAGATGTCCCCAGAGCCACATGGTGATTGGTTGGGATATTAATTAAATAAAGCTTTACTTAGCCTGACTCCTCCTAAGTTCTTTCCCTCTTTCAAAAGATTGTGAATTTCTAGTAGTGTATTTCCTGGGTCTTCAACTTTCTCTCACTCCTTGACAGAACTGACCTTTGGAATTTTTTCTACTGGAAGCTGCTTAATTGAGGTCTTATATTTACAGTTTTTTCCTAAATGTTTGAATCAGTCATTTGCATACATACACCATGTTGTGCTCCTCTGAAGCCAAAAAGTGGGTAATGTCAGTGACACTAGGAGGAAATAATTTGATGGCAGTGTCAGAGGACAGAGTTCAGAATGCCGGGGGAGGCATGCTGGAAGAGAGCCATGGAGGGGGTGAGCCCCCAAATCTGTCTACAAAATCCACCTGATTCTTTGGCCAACTGACTAAACCACACAGTTGTGGGGGAGTTACCAGGGATCAGGGGGAGAAATGAGTAGCTCAAAGATGATAAAACTTAAGTGGAGATTTTAGTTACTGCCTGCTGCAGGACAGAGTTTGAATCCAGCCAAGTTAGCTGCCTTCAGGGGAACTCAGCGGAGATTCAACAATGTATTATTCATGATGTCCAGGACCCAATAAAAATCATGAGCTGTGACAAGAAACAGAAATGTAACCTATACTCAAAGAAACAAAACAAAACAGGAGTCAATTACAACCAAACCCAAGATAATCCGGATGATACAGATAGCAGACAAGGACTAAAGCAGCTACTAAAAACATGTTCAAGAGCTCAAAGTAAGTTATATACATAACGAATGAACATATGGGAATCTCAGCTAAGAAACAGAAACTATAAAAAAGAACCAAATAGAAATCCGGGAGCTGAAAAGTACAATGGTTGAAATGAAATGTTCCCTGGATGTGCTTTATGGCTGATTAGAGATGGCAGAAGGAAGAGTCAGTGAACTTGAAGACACATCAATAGAATTTACCCAATCTGAAGAACCAAGAGAATAAAAATGAAGAAAAACAAATAGAACAAGCAGACTAATGTATATGTAACTGGAGTTCCAAAAGAAAAGGAGAATGATAGAGAAAAAGTATTAACGAATGGACAAACACCTCTTAAATTTGGTGAAAGGCATCAACTTAGAGGTCCAAGAAGCTCAACAAACCCCAAGAAGGGTAAATACAAAGAAAACCAGCTTACATGTGTCATGGTTAAACAGCTAAAATAAAAGAAGTAAGTTGAAAATCTTGAAATCAGAGAAAAACAACATACTTGTATTATATTTAGGGGAACAATGGCATGGATGATGACTTACTGCTCATCAGTAACCATGGCAACCAGAAGACAATGAAATGACATCTTTACTGTGCTGGTGGAAAAAACCTGTCAACCTAGAATTCTATATCCAGCAAAACTATTCTAAAAAAATGAAGGTGAGGGCCGGCCCAGTGGCGCACTGCTACAGTGTGCCGCTGGGGAGTGTGGCGGCGCTCCCGCCGAGGGCTCGGAT